TATCTATATAAGTGAGTGATTGGATCAGAGTCCAGATATTTTTAGGTTCGGAATACACCTTGGCATGCTGCTTTTCAGAAAGATGGTGCTATTTCACACTCATGTTAATTTTCTCATTATACCTTTGTCAGCATTTAGAATGATCCTTATTTTCTTTTAGTCTTATTCACTTGATGAAAAATGATGTCTCGTTATTTTAGTTAGCATTTATTTGATTGTAATAATGAAACTTTCTTTAAAAAAAATGAGCAGCAAATTTCTAATGTGTACTATATTAAAATATTGACTATAGAATAATTTTTCACAAAGATGTGTCTGACTCCTTTGTTTAAGATTTGTACTATGATAATATGTCCAAATCTGTAGGTGGTAGGGATGTGAATTCTGGGAATATGACATGATTTTTTAAAGGGCCTTCTTTCTAGTGTATTTTCTTTAGAAGTATGTTTTGAAATTTTTTAGAAGCTCTCCTTTTTTGCATTGGTTCCCAAACACTGAAACAGTAAATCAGTATAGTAATCATAGCTAATGGTTATTGAGTGCTTACTATTATTTGCCAGGTATGTTGCCAAGTACTCTACTTGTATTAGCTCACTTGATTTTCATAACCGCCCTATGAGAAATGTGAAGCTTTTTGTCTCCATTTTACAAGTGAGGACTTTTGAGTACATAGAGATTCAGTTATTTGGCCCAGTTCACAAAGTTAATACGTGGCAGTGCCTGGATCTGTACCCAGACATTCTGACTCCAAAACTATATTCTTAGGTACATTGATTCCTAGCAAGATTGCTGACTTTGGGGCAGTTTACTTCTAAACATGTAATCTGTTTGTTTTTTTTGTTAGTGGATGTAGCTGTTTGGGAAAGAGCAGTAGCAATAATGGAATGAGTACTATTGGGCTAAAATTAATGCTGCCTGGATTTTGTCTTGTAGGTGTGCATTGCCAAGTGCAATAGCACCCCTTCCCTTGATCTAGTGCTCTCCCAGGACCTCATTGTGGCAGAGGGCCCTGCTGTAGAAGTTGGAGATTCTTTGGAAGTGGCCTATACTGGCTGGCTCTTTCAGAATCATGTGCTGGGCCAGGTAAGAAAATGTACCCTGCAAGTTCTTTTATAATTTAAATAGCATGAGGGCTATTCACAGTGAAGGTGTTATTGCTGTGAATTGCTGCTATTGTCGAATGGAAATTTTTTAGGACCCCTGCTTTAGTCACTACAACTGTTTTGAGGCATATTATAAAAGGTTAATGTGTAAAATCTGCTCAGTACCACTCTTTCCTACTTAGGAAAATTGGAAACCAATTTCCCAAGTACTATTATTTTTGCTAATTGTTCATTTGTACATCTTGTCCTCTTATATCAGTTTTAAAGTTCAATATATTCTTAATGGGATTACGTCTTAAAACTTAATTTTAGACCCTTCTCACAGTTTTTCTTATAGCAGATACTGTAAATATGTTGGGCTTTTTGTGTTTTAATATTATTAAGCCCTCAAAAGCAATATAGTATAAGAGAAAGATCTTTAGACTATGAGTTTTTAAAAACCATGGATTTAAGTCTCAGTTTTATCCTAATTTGACCTTGATCAAGTCAGTTAAGCTCTGTATTTTTTTCCTATTTGTGAGTGGTGGTTACTGATCCTTACTCTGCTTACTTGGCAGGATTGGCGTCAGCATCAAATGAGATAATTTATTTGAAAATGCTTTATAGATGAAAAGTGCTTGAATACGTGGTGGTAGAAATGTATTTTTTTAAAAACCTGGAAAATCATTGTTTCAGAGATAATGTGATAACACCCTTTAGCCGTGATGTAGTCTTATCTTTTCAGGTCCTTTAAAACTATTTTCTTAGTATATTTGGTATTCCCTATTCCAAAAGCACTGTGCTTGTATGTAATTAGTTGAATATCATAATGATCCTTACTATTTTTTAAATTGGCTGACCTCATTTACTTTTTATTAAATTGTAGGTTTTTGACTCCACTGCTAACAAAGATAAACTGCTTCGCCTGAAATTAGGATCAGGAAAAGTCATCAAGGTAAAGGCTTGACTGTGTTTTTGTGTGGTTTTATCAGTTGCAGTGGGCTTTAGATTTAATTTTGTGGAATTTTTCCAACCTGAGTATATTTTCTGAGAGTCTGGAAGTGCTTGGTTGAAAAATAGGAGGGGAAAAATGTGTTACATTATCTGCGTTTGGGAGATTTTTTTTTTTTTTTGGTAATAGTTTTTGTTTTTTTTTTTCCTGGAGAATGGAAATGGAATTCACAAACTTTTACCTTTTGGCATTGTGTCTTTTGTTCCATCTAAAAATATTATCGTAAATATATATAATTTCTACAATAAAACTGCAACAAGTTGTAGTTAATTAACTTAATACTACTCCCTATCCCCCAAAGGACCCTATTTGCTTTATACTGTGATTGTTAAGTTCAAATGTGATAGTGTTTGTGTCTATAAACTATAAAATACCATACAAATAAGGAATATTATGATCATCTTCATTGTGGCTATTCCTGCCACAGAGAAAGGATATGCCTTCCTTCTCAATGACACTTTCCTAATTGGACTCCTTATCTCTGCTGGGCCACTCTAGCCCTTTTTCCATGGCATGATCTCAGCTGCCTTTTTTCTTTTTCATTCCCACAGCTTTTACATTCTGTCTCAATTTTCCTTTGAGTTTGAAGAAATCATGGCTGTTGATAGATAACAAACCAATTTGAATCTACCAAGACTGGTATTTTGTAAATATAAGACAAAATTTTCTTTTTTTTTTTTTTCTTTTTTTTGAGACTGAGTCTGGCTGTGTCACCTGGGCTAGAGTTCCATGGTGTCAGCCTAGCTCACAGCAACCTTGAACTTCTGGGCTCAAGCGATTCTCCTGCCTCAGCCTCCTGAGTAGCTGGGATTACAGGTGCCCGCCACCACACCTGGCTCATTTTTCTATTTTTAGTAGAGGCAGGATCTCGCTCTTGGTCAGGCTGGTCTTAAACTCCTGATGTCAAGCAATCCTCCCACCTCAGCCTTGGCCTTCAAAATTTATCCAACAATTTGACTTCTGGGAATTTATACTTTGGAAACATTTAAGATTATATGCAAAGATACAGTTATAAAGCTATTCATAGAAGCATTGTTTATGATAAAATAAGCTAAATGTCCAACAGTGAGGAATTGGTGAAATATTAATATATTTTCTAATAACATGAGTATTTATGACTTCGGTTCCTGAAATCCTTTGGAGACTTTTTCCTATAGATCATAGCATTAAAAGGCTGACCCTTGAAGCTAGACGTACTCTTCAGTAGTTAAAAATAATGTTGCAAATTAATATCTAGTGAGTTGGAAATATATTAACATGTCAGTGAGTGAGCAAAACAGGTTACAAAACAGTATGGCCCAGTTCTATAAAAAATATGTATACATACACACAGATAATAGTAATGGTAGTTGAGTTGCAGGTGATTATTACCTTTATCTTTTTGCCTAGCTACATTTTCTGATTTGCCTACAATGAACTGATAATGGCTTGTGTAATAGAGAATAAGTGAAATGCAAGGAGGAGGAAGGATATTTGTAGCCTGTTCTACCTGTGGTGGCTCTTTCCCTAGGTGAAGTTTGCCAAAGATTCTGGCTCTG